TACCGACAAAAACAGATACAGCGTGATCAATTTAGAGTTATTGTCTTTATTGCATTTGGTTATGCTAAGCATTTCCGTGCAAGTGCATTAAACGAAGAAATATGACACTGTGACATATATATCTGTCCGCTTGTGTGAATGGAAAAAGACCGGACAACACTCAATCAAACTTGTGCGCCTTGAGCAAGGCAGGATGAACACTATATACTCCCAGGGAGTGATTGAATAGGTCTTATGTATAGCCGCAACTATTTATGTTTCACACATCGGAAAAACATGAAGACATTTAACACTTTGATAGAATACCCTGATATATTCTTAATATCCATAATAGAGTAAGCCATTTTCTGTGGGAATTTACTTATGGTAATTTTAAGATATATCTAAACTGATCAAGTTTGTTGTCTGTCAGTATTGTGCTTCAGAAAATTAGGTCATGACTTTCTGGACCAATGTCACGACAACATACTCATCCCTCTTCCTCATCACAAGACATACAAGACCCATTGGTGCCTTTTCAGATTCCAAATAAGGAATGTTGTTGTGGTGGCGTTTTCGGATCTGACCAAAGGCATTGCGCAAATGATAATCTAGTTTCAAAACAAAACTGATAAGATTATATCGTGGCGTTTTTCTGCATGACTGTATTTGAATACATAATCAATATGAAAAACGAAGCCATATCATTGTAGAACGCCAAGTTGTGGTTTGTTTGATTACTCGAAACTTTTTAACATATTGCCTGTTTGTAACAAAATAGCATTTTTATGCTATTGCGTGTTGAGATATCAGCACAGAAGATTTATTTCGAAAGAATACCTGGAGAGGAGTCGGATTTAGCACTGATCAGCACTTTCAAGATTTTGTAGCAAGACGTCGATCAACATAACATCATACGAATGGATTTTATGTGGGAATTGAACCTGGCTTCTTGGCGACGAGCAAAACTTTAAACAGTAGACTACTCTATGGCTGATTTAATTTCACCCATTGTTAAGTTCTTGTATCATTAATCAAGAGTTAACAATTCACCCCACCACCCCTTGTTAAACGGAATAATAAACAGAGACTACCCACCAATCCATAGATAAATCTTCATTACTCTTCATAATAGACTTCCACCAACTTCCTGTTAAATGTAGAGTTATCCACCACCACTTGTTAAAATAGATTTCATAACCACCCATTGACCATCTGTTGTGGGAAGGTAACACCAATAGACTACTTCCAGCCCGATGGGATCACCACTTGTTAAAAATAGACTTTGTATGGCTTCCCACCACCCATTGTTATGTGTTTCACAGTTATCAAAAACATTAATAGACTATTATTTCTTTGTTAAATACCACAATTAGATTCTTATAATAGATCATTTCCATTACCCCTTTTGTTATATATTAAGGCTGATCCGAGTTTGCTGTCTGTCTTGTGCGGAGTGTCGTTTTCGTCACATCCTCTTCCTGCAAGACATATTAGATTACTCGCATCAATTTCTTTAAAGAACAAGAGATTCTTTACTTCAATGATTGTTACGTTTTCAGTTATATATTAATAGATTTTCAAGACCATTGACTCCAGATTTTTCTTCAAAGAAAGAGCATTTCACACTCATGAATAGATTGAAGCCATATTACTTCCACTCACTTTTGTGCGCATATATATTAGCTGGATAAACATTTTCACTCTTTTGATACACAATAGATTCATTTCCACTAATTCTTTATGGTCGGTTGAGCAAAGTTAAACAATATACGATGGTTTTACATATCGAGTCGAACCAGCCTTCACTTTTGTTGTAAATAAATAGACTACTTCCACCACCCCTTGTTAAACAATAGACTACTTCCACCACCCTTTTTGTTACACAATAGACTACTCCACCACCCGTTGTTAAACAATAGACTACTCCACCACCCCTTGTTACACAATGGACACTCCCACCCCTATGATACACAATACACTTCTCCACCACCCCTTGTTGTTACACAAAGACTACTTCCCCACCACCCCTTGTTACACAATGGACTACTCCACCACCCCCGCTTGTTACACAAGAGACTACTCTACCACCCCTTGTTAAACAATAGACTACTCCACCACCCCTTGTTACACAATAGACTACACCACCACCCGTTGTTACACAAAAGACTACTCCACCACCCCTTGTTACACAATGGACAACTCCACCACCCCTTGTTACACAAGAGACTACTCTACCACCCCTTGTTAAACAATAGACTGCTCCACCACTCCTTGTTACACAATAGACTACTCCACCACTCCTTGTTACACAATAGACTACTCCACCACTCCTTGTTACACAATAGACTCCTCCACCACCCATTGTTAAACAACAGACTACTCCACCTGCCTTGTTAAACAATAGACTACTCCACCACCCCTTGTTACACAATAGACTACTCCACCACCACTTGTTAAAAAATAGACTTCCCCACCACCCATTGTTACACAATAGACTACTCCACCACCCTTTGTTACACAATAGACTACTCCACCACCCATTGTCAAATAATAGACTACTCCACCTCCCTTGTTACACAATAGACTACTCCACCACCCATTGTCAAACAATAGACTACTCCACCTCCTTGTTTACAATAGACTACTCCACCACCCTTGTTACAATAGACTACTCCACCTCACTTGTTACACAATGTACTACTCCACCACCCCTTGTTACACAATAGACTATTCCACCACCCCTTGTCAAACAATAGACTACTCCACCTCCCTTGTTACACAATAGACTACTCCACCTCCCTTGTTACACAATAGACTACTCCACCACCCCTTGTTACACAATAGACTACTCTACCACCCCTTGTTACACAATAGACTACTCTACCACCCCTTGTTACACGATGAGCTGCGGAATAGTCATGATGGTTCATATGGAGATCATCTATTAAACCGTAACAGTTACAGCGTTATCGCGTGTGTACGTGCGCGTTATTTCACATGGATACTCCACTCAGAGCGTGTGAGTGAGACAATCCAGTGATCAATAGCATGAACATTGAGCCATTCGTCCACATTTCTCCCTAGCTAACCAAGCCGAGGTTACTCGCTCTGGAGAACAGACGCACACATCATTGGCTGCCAATTCATCCTATCAATTGTGTTTGTCAGAGATTGGTTTCAGTTATCTCTGGTAATATAGGTTATACATGTGTAGTCTAGTTGTACCAGATTGTACATTTGTTCGTGGATTGGTAATCAGTGACCCTTGTCAAAGCCGATTTTGGTTTTGATCCCTCAGATCTTTTGTTTCAGTTAGCTACTGATAATAAAACTGCGAACTTTTACCATGTTTTCTTATTTAATGACATCCGATTTAAGAAGCAGCTCCGTGACACCTCGACATATAATTTCACATTTACTGTCTTCCGTTGTTGTGCTGTTGTGGTATCTCGTTATGCGGAGTGAGTTTAGTTTTACGCCGCAGTCAGCAATATTCCAGCTATATGGCGGCGGTCTGAAAGTCTTCGAGTCTGGACCAGACAATCCAGTGATCAACAGCACGAGCATCGAACTATGCAACTGGGATACGATGACAACCAAGTCAGCGAACCTAACCACCCGATCCCGTTGGTCACAAGCGTGGGTTGCTGGAGACCAATTCTAACCCGGACCTCAGGGGTTGGCAGGATACGGCAGGGGATGGGTGTAACTACAAGATAAATACAAGACTCAAATACTCTTTGACGTCTTTACGATCAGCTTTTTCCACACCTCAGAAAACACTGCATTTGATGTTGTGGTAAGCTACAAGCAAGGTTGAAGAGACTCAATGCTCATTGTTTCATATTTCAATACTTAATTTCTGAAAATTTGACTCCTTTTTAATTTGTTAACCATGCCCATGTTATGCTACACTTCAAGACTATGTTAAATGTTTAACAAATCAACTAGAAGTAAAAGAGAATATAATCCAAACAATATGAGCAAGACTCATTACTTTAATGGGAACTTTGTTTATGAAGAAAAACTGCAACTTACAAATGATGCTGGGCAGGAACTGCTCCGTTTGTCTCAGGCGCTAAAACATGTAGTGCAGAGCTGAGTTCCTTAGACTGACCTGTACGCCATGTTTGTAGGTTAGAATTCTGATTCTGTCATGTAGTGTTTCCAGACGTTTTCAGCAACATATCATGCTACTACGTGATAAACGCCACTTTCCTTCCCCAGTTAAGTTGACATCAAATACCTCGACACGGCATACTGCTTTTCACTTGTATGGAGGAGCAAGAATGCGCTCCGAAACGAAAAGAAAAGCAAGGTTTATGGATGTCAACTTCTTTGTTGTGAATAACACCACGTTTCGAACGGTATGCTTGCTCATTCATCCGAAACGCTTCGAAACGTCGCGTTATTCACAATAAAGAAGTTGACATCCATAAATCTTGTTTTTCGAATGGTCTCATGGTTCTCAGATGACAGTAAGGAACCGATAATCCTTGCAGGAATAACAAATTTTCGATCTAACATCCCCAAATTAGCCAACAATTACTACTGTCAACAGCTGTGGTTGAGCATGGTTGTACACTTATAGTCTAGCAAAGTCATATTTGGCGGTCGCAAACTGGTTCTTGAATATACCAAACCAGCTTAATACCGGAACTCCGAAGTAGCGCCTCGCGAGACTTACAGGCCCTATTTCACGTTTTGGCATGACCAAGTAGAATAGGATATATCTTCTAATTTACTAACTTCTGTTTATGAGTTGTGAGAAACCTTATATTTTCCTTATGATCCGCAGGAGAACACCAACCAACATGTCCACAAAACGTCGCATTACCTCACAAAATATTCTTTTCCACCACACACATTCCACATTTTCAATCAACCAGTCCCTATAGTCAGTCATTATCATCACCACTGAAACTATGACGGTTTGATAAGGGCTGCTTTGGTTATGGGTCACGTGATTAACGTACCGCTATACTACACGTTGTGTACCTGTACTTTGTCCTATACGAGATGAAATACGGGGTCACTAAGGTGACAGATAACGCCTACATCGAAACAACAACAGTTGACCGCAACTAAATCATGGCTGGCTACTGGTCCGGTGCAGTACTACTTTGTGTGTGTTTCACCTGCTTCCCAATTACAGGTACGTTATGTCTGTCGTGTCACAGATAATATTATCAATATATTCCTACGCGTTCGGAAACAAGTCATGTTGACTGCTGTTATCTCAATCCCGTGAAATAGGGTCTAGAACTGTGGCCTATATGTTCACAGTTTACCTGTGACAGTTAATATGTGTTGAATATGATACTGATTGTCAAAGAGACCCTGGAATGTCACAAAGAAATCATTAACTTGTAACAAATAAGAAGATCCACGTCAATACACATATCTTTACATATAAACTAATGACGGAAGACTAGAGAATGATACCTATTTAACATTCGAGTTACCGTAAAACACCGTTGTGTCGAACTTATGACTGTCTGGAAATAAAATTGTGGTCCCTTCGTATGCTTTCTTTATTCATCATTTTCGGCTTAGTCGAATCTCGCATTACGCGAAGTATTTACGTTGGTCACTTCACACGACGCCTTCGAGTGCTCGACTGAAATGAGAAATATATTTCTAAACAGTGCCGCTACATGTGTTGGATTCAAAAGCTAGTTATAATATGAGGTTTGGGGGCTGGCGTATGCAAAGGTGAAATACCAACGTCACCCAGATACAATCTCTGCCTTCGCTTCGATTTCGCAAGTCAATACGTGCCAACCAGCGGGTGTATTTCCCGTTTGACCCTGTATCATGGTGACATCCGTGTTTGCCTAGGACACTGCCACTCCTTATCTCAGTAACATTTTCGAACGGGATCAGTGGCTTTATTGTTACACTGACGGTGACAGTGAGATGTAGTTGGGTTTATTGTTACACTGACGGCAAGAGTGAGATGTAGGTGGGTTTATTGTTACACTGACGGCAAGAGTGAGATGTAGGTGGGTTTATTGTTACACTGACGGCAAGAGTGAGATGTAGGTGGGTTTATTGTTACACTGACGGCAAGAGTGAGATGTAGGTGGGTTTACTGTTACACTGACGGCAAGAGTGAGATGTAGTTGACTTTATTGTTACACTGACGGCGAGAGTGAGATGTATTTGGGTTTATTGTTACACTGACGGTGAGAGTGAGATGTAGATGGGTTTATAGTTTATTAATCGTAATTGTCCAAGAGACATATTTCAGGGACAGGGACGTCCACATTTCTCCCTAACTAATAAAACGGAGGTTACTCGTGGAAGAGATCAGACTAATCATTGGTTGACAATTCATCTTGTCGATTGTCTTTGACAGCGATTGGTTTCAGCCATCTTGGATAACAGCGATTATACTTTGGTTATACCAGGATGTACTTTTGTTCATGGTTTATTTATCACTGACCCTTGTCAAGGCCGATTATGGCTTTGATCCCTCAGATCTTTTGTTTCTGTTTGCTTCTGGTGATACAACTGTGTACAATATTTTCTTATTTAATGACATCCGATCTCAGGAGCACAGCTCTGGGACACCTCGCGTCTTCCCATGTTGTACTGTTGTGGTGCCTCCGGCTCTACAGCGTGACGACCGAACACTTTAACCACTAGGCTACCCCACCGCCCTCTAAATCTCTAAATTAGAATTCGGTCGCATATCCTGTTTGTAAAGATGATCTTCATACAACTTCGGGTCTTGACTTGATGTGAGATGAGAGAGTCACAAGCTTTCCCACTTGTGTAGCATCTTCTAGAAATGTCTGCTGGATTACTCTGCATCTGCTACGATTACAGGTACACTTGATTCCACAAACATCGAAATGTAGTAACTTCCAAACCAGGGTTTACAATGTAACGCGTTCCTGACAGCTAGGTTTATCAGAAACGAAGTGCTAAAACGTTTGGTTCCAACTCTACAGTGGGACTGTTTCAAGTAGGAGCCACAATAGGTTTATCTCCTACATCGGGTGTTTACTGTGTGTAACCTTGACCTTGACATTTCATGATGTCCCGATGGTAAGGACTTCTGGCATCAACCAACGCACTTGCTCAGAGAGTCGTGATTTTTTTGCAAAGCTAAAGAACCTGCCTCCTTTCAGTGACAACGTTCATATTGTTATTTTTCTTTGGTGTTCATAACATCGTCTTGGTAATGAAGTCACGTATCACGATTGTCGTAAACATTTCCTACTTGTTTGGTGTATCCATTGTTGATGATTACCGGGGCGATAGCATGAAGTTAGTCTGGCTCACAGTTACTGGTCCTTCCGTGAAGTCCTTTGTGTAATGGGGCCGGTAGCCGTTTGGTTAAAACCTCCGCTAGTAACTCTGAAGACCCGGTTTCGATTCCCCACATGGATATACAATGTATGAAGCCCATTTCTGGTGTGCCCCACTGTGATATTGCTGGAATATTGCTAAAAGCGGCGTAAAACCATACTCACTCATTCACCTACACGTGTAATGCAAACGACACGTATGAAGCAAGTGTAGGTTTTACTCAGGTCCAGAATCTCCAATCTCACAGGGCATTTCAGTCTAAATGGAGAAGTTTGTTCTATCACAAATATTTATTTTCAGGGACTGAGCGTCAAAGGAACATCTACCGACACTTCAGAAACCTCAAACTTTGTAGTATTTAGAATCTGGTATGATGAAGAGGAATAACATTAATGGTGCTTCATTTCGGTGTTAGCATTTTGTCTATCCATAGAATTTGTTCCTATTCAACTACCACAAACTACTGTCTGAGATACCCGGGTGCCCTTGGACAAATAATCTTAGCGCATGGTGGTCGTTTTCCCCATTCCTTAACAGAGACTTAGGTAGTCGTAAGACTAATGTTGTTTGTATAGTGGCACTCGGTTCTATATAGTCCCACCCCAGAGTTAAACACTTACACGTGTATAACCGAATATGTTTCAGCCGATGCCGATGTCTTCAGTGTAGTTACCTTCCCAGACGGACGTTACGAGATAAAGATCAATAATGTCACGTGGTTGAGCAGCGCCCCAACATTCTTCGTCATCAACGACACGCGCTTCTCCGCCGATGATGGCAGCCTCGTTCTCGACAGTATCAACACTACCATATCCGGTACAGGCCAGTTCGGGGTCGAGGTCTCCAAGAACTTCCATTACCGAGCTGGTGACGTTCCAGTCATCACGAGTATCGTCATATACGGGACATCAATCATGTCCTTCATAGTGGTAATGTACATTTCAAACTTTTCAACGTTCAGAACGCAAAAAATAATCTTTATTGTAGATGGATGTAAATACATTTACACGTCCCACATTGATGCTTCTCATTTCGTTTTACATTATTGTAATTATTGTTACGTTAGGGAACAGTCTTTACTTATAACATGTTCTTTCTACGACACACATCTAGCTGGAAATTTCGGCTGCGTTTGTAAATAGTTACGTTATCTGATTGTTTCGGACTTCCTCTGTTCCCGTCCACTTGCTTTGTTTTGTATAAGTTGTAAACAATATATGTTTGAAGTTTCTGCAAGGAAGCACTTTAAAAAACACGAGGATAATTTGGATATTCATGATGACTCTTTCATTTCATCCTCATCCATTCATTTGATGAAGCGCTTCCCCGACGGAGCCTCAAACACAAATCAAAGCAACATAGACGGTGTTATCTGTGGTTACCCCGGATTCAAACTGGACACCACGTCCAAACTGGGATACATGTCGTTCGGGGGAGCTGACTTTCAAGAACAGTCCGTCGGAAGGTACGCTACTCGGTGAATAATAGACAAATTGCTATTTGCACTGCAAGTAACAATGGCGATAATAAAGTTGAATTCATGTCAATCCAAAACTTTGTTTTCTAAGTAAGGATTAGATATAACTTCTTTGTTTACAATGTAGACCAACGATTCGGTGTAGATTCTAACACTGCTATAAAACAGGTGATGTACAGGGTGGTGTAGGGAAGCTAATATACAGATATGAAGTAGCGTTTTACAACAGAGCATAGACGCCTGTTGAATACACAGGAGAGAATCTGAGATACATTAGGTCCTTACAAATGAAACCAGTCGAATATTAACACAGAAGGATTACCTCTCATTGAAGTCTTTGATGAGATGATGGTAAGCTGGGGTATGTATCAGCCTTGGTCATGACTGATAGATGGTTGAAGTCTTAAATATGGATGTCTTCTTGGAGATGTCTGAGTTTGAAGTGAGGGCTCTGATTTTGTCGTACTGGATGCTGTGGTTTTAACGAATATGGTCAGATAGATCTGATTTCGTGTCTTGTTTAGACACCGAGTAATGTTATGTTGATGCTTGTTATCGTATCCCAGCAACGTAGATAGATGCTCCAGGTGTCAATCACCCGATAGTCTTGTTGAGACTCGACTATGTACAGGCCACTGTAGCTGGTTTACTGCGTGTCTCGAGACAAACGAAAACTGGATACGATCTATTCTCTTGTCTCTTACCTGACGGCACGTATTTGGCTTCTTGGGCTTACTGCATTGATACATTGACTCAATGTCAACTAATGAAAAACAATATATGTCGGAATCTCAGTGTGTGAAATAATATCAAATGCTGGAATTACTTCCATGGAGTGAGTGAGTTGCTTTGAGTAATATTCCAGCAATATTGGGACACCAAAAATGGGCGTCACACACTGCACCCATGTGGGGAATCGAACCCAGGTCTTCGGCGTGACGGGCGAACGCTTTAAACACTAGGCTACCCCACCGCCCCACTCCCATGGAAGATCGTAAAGATGAGTAAGAACATATAGATCGAAAAATGTCTTTTCAAAGATTTGTGCAGTGTCGGGGTTACAGCACGACAGCTTTGAGATTGGTTTGTACTAGACCTTATTGGGATGTTTCGAATGTTCACCCTTCAGTCATAATTTCCCAAATGTCCTTTCTTCTATTGCGGGAACACTTGACTTGCCTCCGACTGCCACCCGTGAGCATCTGCTATGATCCTTATGACACAGTGGAATCGGTGATTTGTTATTACGAAGACATGTTCCTGTCCCCAATCATATTGAGTACATTTCGTCACCCGAATTAGTTTATTTCTTATTTCAAGACCCCCAAAAAAACTGCAATTAAATTCCCATACATAATATCTCCCTGTTACTGGAATATTCTGGTCTGCCTGTGGTCATGCACGAACATATTCCTGTATCTGACACTCACGAAACACTGACTTTTCTTCAGATGGGATCCGTCCGCATCCATCCATGATGGTTTGGAAGGTTCCAGCCCCTTCTCAGTGTTTGACTCGAGTGGAAATGCTGTGGCATTTGCACAACTGAATAATGTCATGACGACACCAATGTGGCACGACAAAACCAACAACTTCCTGTACTATGGAATTATGGGAGGAATCGAACAGATCCCGACAAATTTCTCCTACCACATTTTGGCAGCATATTCCTCAGGGGGACCTGAAAGTGTAAGTATATATTCTATTTAGTGAACATCTCGTCGGCTCGTTTGAGGAATAAATGGTGTTTAAAGGGTTATTCATTCAGCGACTATATTTTGTCCATTTCTGAATTTCAAGTAGGTTCTAAGAAAAGGGTGTTTGGATCAAGTCAATAAACAAAATGGCTGCCGTACCTCGTTTTCATCCAAATACTAAAGACACCAAACGTAACCCTTGCCACATGCACGAGTAGAGCACACACAAGGTACAACCAGACATGTCGGTAGTCCTTGTGTCTTCAACAGGTATTGAAGGTTAATGTTGTTTATGAGTAAACAGAGTTTCAGTGTTGTTGGTCGGTAGGCATGTCGTTATTGTTGGTTTCAGTGCACACCGTGTCTTCGTCCTTACTATAGGCACCGTGTTATGGACGCAGTTCTGTCGAACATATTAAAGACAACCATCTGCTCTGAATATCATCCTCTATATACATGGGAATATGTGTTAGTCTGTTACGATTAAGATCTACATTTTTAACTTATCCAAATGTGTTGGGATTTGAATGCTTCTATTTCTGAGATGAAATATTTCAATATATTTTCATTGAAAACACAGAAAGGCATCCCTTCCATACCAAAAACAACCTCAACATATAAAACATCCATATGGTAGGATAATCAGTTATGTTGTACATAGTTTCATCAGCGGACTATCATCGGGTTCTGCCAGGACAATATGCCTGTGTATAGCTCTGGAGTATAGCTCTGTGATACCGACTAAATATACATGTATACCCAGCACACTTTGAAACTGTCGACAAACCAATATTCGTTAGCAGAAACTAAAACTCTCTCTCTTAATAGATTATTGTGTGTTCCTGACTTTAGATAATGTTTCCGTACAACTGCTTCAAACTGGTGATTTTATTTTCAACTTTTCAGAGTCTGTCTGTGTGGGGTTTCGTAATCAGGAGCTTTGTATACAAGGAAGATAAACCGGCGGATCCCTCTGGGGACACACTGGGGTACTGGACAGATGAAGGTGACCTTAAACAATTTAATTAATGTCTACTTTAGGTCATTGCTGTTTGACAATGGTACAAGAATCCGTATAGACGCGTCTCACCCACGAAATACAGAAGTTGTTATCCATAAAGTGTGTTAAATAGTGAGCTTGAGGTCTTGGCTTTGAATGTTTTGAGACAGTTTCAGGGCAGATTTGTGTTTCTCCGCAAACGTGTCAGTTGTAATGTTATTGTCTGAATAGAGTACGTGAGTATAGTTTTAGCAATATTTCGGCAATATCATGAGATACAGGCTTCCCACATTGTACTCATGTTGGGAACCGAACCCGGGTCTTCAGTGTCACGAGCGGACGCTTTAACCTCCAGGCTACCTGTCTCAATAGAAGTCATCAAGCAATATCTAACGACTCAAAGGCACAAGATAATAGTATCACCAACATATGTCACACTGAAATCCCCTTGTGTACAATTATAACTTCCAGTCACCTAAATCGAGGGTTTGAATCCCACTTGGTATTTGTCTAGGTTTGGTAGCACCATACAAATGTTCTTTTGTTTTCGAAGAGTGGTGAATGCCTCAGTGGTGGGACCTTCTGCCTTCATGTGCCTACTGTTTCCATGTCAAGGCGTCAACGTCCTACTTTTCCCATGTCAAGGCGTCAACGTCCTACTGTTTCCATGTCAAGGCGTCAACGTCCTACTATTTCCATGTCATTGTTACAGGGTCCTACTATTTCGATAAAACCGATGGAACATCAACGTATGAAGATACATTGATCAAAGTGTTTGCTGATGCCCGCAATAGAAGTATAACATACAGGTACCTGTATAGTTTTGGTACAATAGGACAACAATTGATAAGATGGCGTATTGCGTCGATGAGGCAATGTATTTATGATTAATTTACAGTATATATATCTTGATAACTAAAACATCTGGGCGATTGAGTCGCCTGAGGTGCAGATTTGTGTGACATTTATGTATTTCCGATGACTGAATATTTTAGACCAAAATCATGAAAAATGGTTCCAGTGCCGCGATATGTGATTAACGTGAACATATCCTGCAACGTAGCATGTTACCCATACGCTGTGATATATCTCTATTTGCACAACAGATAATCTTTATTCCTTGATCTTTTTGTTCGGAACATATATCCTCATTCCTTTTTCTCCTCTTTCGATGCTTATCTTTCTTTATTCCTAAATCTTCCGTATTCCTTGGTCACGTATTCTGCAAATGATCTATTGTTATTCCTAACGCATGCACTCCAATAAAGGCTTATTTCTGTTTCATATCTTCTGCAGGTATGTAGAACTGGACACCTGGTGGTTTACAAAAGGTCAAGGTGGAGGGGTCAAGGAGTGGACAGCACCAGCAGACATCTTCCCCAACGGCATCGAGTACGTCTACAGTAATCTAACATTACTGATGGTAAATCAGTTTCCATATTGGCACATTGATATTAATGGTAACACTGTACTACCAAATAGTTTTAGTGTTCATCAATACATAGGTAGCCCGACTGAACAAGATTCTATTCGATTTACAACTTTGTACAGATTGTGTTCGGTTTTACACAAGTTCTGAAGGAGAAATTGAACGTACTTGATAAATCCCAGCAACCCTCAACCCTTATGTAGCAAGTCATTCGCAAACGCACGCACGCACGGAAATAGAAAACAGAGTTTTTGGTGGAAGGGTAGTTGTCTTGACATATCCCGCTTTAAGACCTGACCTGCCCATTGAGAATAAGATGATGACATGGATTGTTTTGTTGTGGACTAGTCGGAAAACACCACCTTCAGAACGATCTGGGAAAACGGTAATACAGATATAATTTATGTTATGTTTGTTTTCAGGTATGTCCACAGGAGTTTGAACGTACCTATTGTGGCGAAAAATAATTTCTGGTGAGTTGTGAGAAGGGAGCTTCGCAGAATGAACTAAGTGAAAGCATTAACATACTTTAGTCTTTGACGGCTCAGTAGGGAAATGATCGGGTTTTCTGTGTCTTTGTTGGGTGAGAGGCCCCTCCAGTTGTCCTGGAGGCAGTGACTTCGCTACACTTCCGAGGACATTGTTTCGTGGTCTGTTGCGGAAAGAACTACGATGTCCAGAAGGACATTAATTATGTTACGTTGATTCCGTGAAACTGTGGCACTTTCAAAAGAACTCATTTCAATATTTATTTATTGCAGGTCCAGTGATAACATATATGCAACACAAAATGGCGGAAAGTTCAATTTTGAAATGGAAGGAGACATGGCAATACCGACAGATGAGGCATTTACAAATATTATTGATTTATACATATAGTTTACATTGAGTGTGGAACGGTTTTATTTCATCAAAGTAACTGGTCTTGTTTCATAATAATATGATATATTTATGTAATCAGTTCTAATACTGAAATATGGAACCATGAAGATTTAGTATTTGAAATACGACAAGTGTATCACGATGTGTCTACAAACAATGTCAGTTAAAGGAAGTGATCTACTGATCCACTCAATTTTTAACCACTCTGACCCTGACTTTAAACCACTCATCAACGCCCTGTGGTGGTTGTAAGAGGCGACTAAAAAGATCCTTTGGTCAGACTAGGTTGTTTAGTAGATTGCCTGTCATCATACTGCGAAAGCGTGGAATGATTGAGAGAGCTGGATTTTTACGCCACGTTTTAAAGCTTGTCTGATGCTGAGGCTGCCTCAACAAGCAATGGAACAATCTACCAATGAAGTAGCTGTGAAAATACTTTTCGATTCGGAGCCATGTGACGTTAGAGAATGATTTGTTTACTTCCAGGCGTTCTGGGACAAAATCTTCAGTGATTCCAAGCAGTGGGGATTAGCCACATATATACAGGTAGGATTTGCCACCATACGCTCTCAGTTATATTCTGCAATGAATTATTCATCGATATTTCTGGGAGAAGGCTTTCTTAGGACGTTTAACGCTTATGACGTCACAAAACAATCAGACGTTTCAGAGTAATCACCATTGTAAAGAGGCGGTCGTGAAATGTTTTATGGTACATATTGAACAAAACAGGGTATTAGCAGAATGTTAGCAGTAAGTGTATGTCACGGTGCTTATTGTTATACACGTGAAGTGAAAGTTCTATACGGAACAAGATATGCTGCATGCTTTATATTCACGCAATTTCTAAACAATGATGATAAAAAATCCTTCCTGACTGATACATATTAGTGCCTGTTGGCTCCAGTGATGTTTACATATACCTTACAATACCGCTGATTACGAAGTTTAATCCATGTGTGTCAGTCAACAGAATATTGTCTTCTGCAGGACAACATGACGGAAATATTCCGTACTTTCCCACGGATGCAGACGGACCTTAACTTTGCGCGAGATTGGTTGGTTAAAATGGCGACGTCTGCTTTGAGACACAACATCACCATCCAATACAGTGGCGCCACCCCAACGATGGCGCTCTTGGCACTCCAGTTACCGGCTGTCACCCAGGTCAGAAACAGTCGTGGATGTTGATGTCGGTACATTTAGCATATTCACAGTGACATAATACGCTTACTGTGCATCCACTTTAGGACAAATTATGCATCCAGTCATAAGAAAGGTATGATCCAGTCTGATGTTTCCCCCGATACAATCCTCTGTCGCAACAGGACATATTTTGTCATATGCCATGACGTATGAAACGACAGTGAAACATCGACAACACTATAATTGGGCTATAATAGTTACATTCAGAACGCGTCATTTTACTTCGTTTCGAGTTACACAACTCAGATTTGCTGCTCCGAATGCTTCTCACTCGCACCGAGAATATATGTCGGATATTCATGCCTTTATCCAGGTGCGCGTCCTGGGAGGCTATGGCACAGAATTGGACCAGAGGAATATTCTTGCTTCGTCCGTATTCTCTTCACTTTTAGATGTGTTGGTCTTCAAAGGTGTGCTCCGTACACAAGACCAGAAGGGAGGTGGTAACATTTTTTATGGTTGCTATTGTGGTTATGTTAGTTTACGTTTTTGTTGTTGATGATATAACCATTCCCGTTGTTATCGGGAGCGGCCATTAAGCCTAGTGGTATGGACGTCACGTCTAAACCCATTCTCTTCCCACAGAGGTTACTCCTGTCATATCTTCCTACGTAACCTCTGTTCTAATACGGCCATATTTCCCGGTGCTCGTAAAATCCCCTAGCGGCAAAATATCGCAACACGAATTATCTCCCCTTCTTTCTATCCAATCAGAACACATGTTACATCGACTTAGATTCAACTTTACCATACCTGTCAACTCTCACGCATTTGGCGTGAGTCTCACGCTTTATTGACAAATGTCACGCTCTCACGCCTCCAAATAATAATCTCACGCATATCTGGTGCCAAAAATAATTTCAAAATTAATACGCATTTTCGTTCGTTTTTGCGTAAAGTTGAACATTGAAAGAACGCCTGAATGAACGAAGTACTAAAACGATGTTTATGCGAATGATTCGGCTTATTATTATTTATTAGCATGCATCTTTTAGTGTCAAAAAAATGCCACCATAAGGTTCCAAATGCTCCTGAAAATCACTAAACTTCGCCCCCCAGATACCCCCCACCAGGGCGTCGCCCTCGACATGTACCCGGCGGGACCCCGGCTTATTTTTTTCAGTCTTACTCCAAACCATCTTTATAGGGTTGACAGCTCTGCTTTACAACACAAGCAAATGTGGGGCCACAAATATCCCCCCATCTGCCTGGGACTTGTGTTGATGTTACACACAAGACGTTTAATGGCTAGCTTGTCCGTTGTCAACGAGGGCGATGGAGACGCCACTGATCCGCCGTAACATGACTGAGTTCTGTCTAGAAGAAACGTTTGTGCATCGTGCAGGGGAAGAAGTTTAGTTTTCTCGAAGCATACGGAAATTACCGAGGCCTTGCGAATGGTCACTTTTGAAACAACGTCGCTGATTGCACAACTAAATCTGATTGCCTCCAATCACGAGTCTTGAACGCTCACACCATGAAAGGGCCGTATCAGAACAGAGGTTACGTAGGAAGATATGACAGGAGTAACCTCTGTGGGAAGAGAATGGTCTAAACCAGGTCAACCAGCATAAATGCATACAACTGTAAAATCTCTCTCCTTCAACTCCCTAATCAGCTTCGACAACGATGACATTGAGCTTTGATCGCTGCCTGACTAACCCGAGACATTTGATAGCAAATCCTTTTATTGAAACATTTAAATAGGATTTGATCCGCAATATACATTTTGATGTTCGAAATTCGTTAAAAAACGGCGACATGATAATTGACTCAGCTCAGGTACAGCGAAAATTATTTTGACATCTTAGAATTGTTCCAACCTGTGAATGTGTAAGGCATGCATTACCTATATGGCTGAAATTATCCGATGTGGACTAGTACAGAGTTTAGCAATGCTTTCTTTCAAGGCACTGGAACAATCTCTGCAGCTCAGAGCAGCGTGATAGCTGTCCTGTCGAGGGGTCCAGTGGGGATTGGTGACCAGATCGGACATACCAATACTTCCATCATCAATCGGTAGTTACTGTTTCATCTATCGCCTCCCATCAATGATAATAATTATGCACAAATGGCCTGAAAAGTGAAACAAGGGGTTTTCTGTTTCCCATCAAGATGTAAATATAGGTGACTTCAACGAGACTGAATTTAATTCTTCTCCGTATATGTAAGTAAATTTTCTGTCCCTTTTGACAACCTGAACCAGGAAAAACACTTATATAAAGCAATATCCGGAACATATGAAATGTCCCCAGCACCAAGTTGTCCAACTGTTCTTGGTGCCTTAGGTTTAGTACCTCCCAGTCTCTTGGTGCCTTAGGTTTAGTACCTCCCAGTCTCTTGGTGCCTTAGGTTTAGTACCTCCCAGTCTCTTGGTGCCTTAGGTTTAGTACCTCCCAGTCTCTTGGTGCCTTAGGTTTAGTACCTCCCAGTCTTTTGGTGCCTTAGGTTTAGTACCTCCCAGTCTCTTGGCTGTCGTTGGTAGAGTGTCCGAGTTGGCTGCCAGGAACACAACCCTTCTGACTCTCTAGGTAATGTAAAAGGTTGCAACGTTCAGCACTATCACCTCTAGTAGGCCATGTTTATGACACTCTCATGTCTGTAGAAGCCTATTTCCATCTAGTGACTCTCATCTCACTCTCATCTCTAGTAGGCCATGTTTATGACACTCTCATGTCTGTAGAAGCCTATTTCCATCTAGTGACTCTCATCTCACTCTCATCTCTAGTAGGCCATGTTTATGACACTCTCATGTCTGTAGAAGCCTATTTCCATCTAGTGACTCTCATCTCACTCTCACCTCTAGTAGGCCATGTTTATGACACTCTCATGTCTGTAGAAGCCTATTTCCATCTAGTGACTCTCATATCACTCTCATCTCTAGTAGGCCATGTTCATGACACTCTTATGTTTGTAGAAGCCTATTTCCATCTAGTGACTCTCATCTCACTCTCATCTCTAGTAGGCCATGTTTATGACACTCTCATGTCTGTAGAAGCCTATTTCCATCTAGTGACTCTCATCTCACTCTCATCTCTAGTAGGCCATGTTTATGACACTCTCATGTCTGTAGAAACCTATTTCGATCTAGTGACTCTCATCTCACTCTCACCTCCATTAGGCCATGTTTATGACACTCTCATGTCTGTAGAAGCCTGTTTCCATCTAGTGACTCTCATCTCACTCTTCTCTAGTAGGCCATGTTCATGACACTCTCATGTCTGTTGTAGCCTATTCCAATCTCGTGACTCTCATCCCACCCTCAGCTCCAGTACTGTCCATGACAAACAAATAGATATCTGGCAATTTTGTTCTCAGGATATGTAGCTCTGATGGAACTATCCTCAAACCAAACAGCCCTGTACTCGAAATAAATGCTCAGGTTGTGCAGGTGAGTAAGCTGTGAGCGACCCCAACTCCGCTTTTTGAACAGTTTGTATGTAATGTCACGAACTGACAAAATAATCGATACCTCGACATTGTTTTACCAAGCGTAATGGTTTTTAATTGCGAATATCTTAAGTTTATTATCTTAAGCGATATTATTTCCAAAACCTAGATTGTGCTAACGTTTGGTTAGTTCTCAGAGAATACCTGACCATGGTACTTTCGTGTTAAATTTAATTTCATTTATGACTTGATCTATCAAAGAAAGACTTTTTTTGTTTAGCTCGTGATGCAAAATGTATGCGAGTGTAAATCTAGGACACATATCATTGACGTTTAACCATGCAAATGAAACCATTAGTGGATCTGTCCATGATTAAGGAACACAAAGCTTCACCAATCTGTTGAGAGACTTACTTGCTAAGGGTGCAACTCACAGGTCTCTACGATTCAACTCTGTTAACTTTTACATCAGTTGCTATGTTTTAAACATCACATGGTCATATCAGTAGCACATAATGTACCCGTTGAGGTGAAGAGCGCTTGTCTTGTCTGCAGGTTCAGTCAAAGGTGATGACGTTTTAACACGTGTTTATCAAAATATGCTGCTGCCTGTTTAAGAAAGTAAAATTGCAAATGCCGTCCACTATGTACCAGATGACATTTCAAGATGGCAGCGGCCCAAACGCCGACATCTGGGCGACACTCACCGGCGTGTATAAGGGTGGGTCAGCCCCGGAACAGGTGTACGGGATTATCTATGTTTCCGGCTTGAACAGGACCTTTGACATCACCCCGACGGCAGCCAATATTGGGTTTGAAGTGAGTATGCCGTACGTATTTAAAGGGAAATTCGGCGCGAAGAAAGCGCAAGTCCCAGCCAGTATGATTCAAGTAGTTTAAACATCACGTACGTCATCAGTGATGTATCATACCTGTAAAGAATGCGTTAGGTTACGAATGTGAGACGACTTGCACTTTAGATTATGCATGTTGTATCGACGGTTCAATTTTATATGCATATTGGTCTATCAAGCACATAAATTCCTACCCAAAACGATACTTAAAATGGCACGTGGCAGTACTTCAATACTTCAAACATTAGCTGGAAATTGTGTGTTTCCAATGATTGCTCTTCAAATGGATAAGTATCAGTTGGGTATGAGTTACCTCTGTTAAGTAATCCACACTTGGTACTTAATCCTCATCAATGAGATCGGGTAACAGCACGTTGAACGTATTTCAGGTACATGTAAATAGAGAGCGATGGGATAGCCTTGTGACTGAAGCGTTGGTTTGTTACGTTCACCTTCTGTGGTGTGCCATGGGTCCTGGAATGAAGGAAAATCACCGAAGCAACAATTAATGTTGGCACATCAGACAATGGTGCTTCCAATGCCTCAGTCTTCAGGCTTCAGCACCTACACATATTTACTGTTGCAGTACCCAGTGAGCAAGATCTTCTCTGCAGCTGATCCAACAAAGCAGTACGACTTCAGCGACAGCAAACCCTTCACCATCCCGCCATGCCAACTGGAATTCTGCATGTACTATACGTCACCAGTTATAAAATATAAGTAAGGCACCTATTGTTCATATTTCGCAAAAGTCAGCTTTCCAGATTGATATGCAAATACGTCTCTTGTGAAGTAAGAACATCGAAGAACATTAAGAGCTATCTACAGCACCAACTTCAAGGTAACGTGTTAACTGTTCTTATCAGTTATGTATGTTTCACGAGGTAAACAGGAAAATATAAAGGAAATATACATTTGTATCATCTTCCGTAGAAATCTGTTTTTTGAACATGGGACTTAAATATATTCCGTTAAATTCCACCAAATTCCGTAGATGTTTGTTGGCGGTGGGCGGTGTTATCCACATGGGTGCAGTATGTGAAGTTCACATCTAGTGTCCCCGACAGCGATAATGGTCTCAGCTCCATCTTTCTGCTCACTGATTTCACCCAAGTGTTAAATGTCTAAGATCTGAATCACTCCCATCTTTCCTTCCACATCAGTCTGACAGGCCGTTATGTAACTGAAATACTGTTGTACGCTGCAGTAAACACTTACCCGCATTGACTATTTGTTGCAGAAATAGAGAAGTTCTCGTCCTGGGTGAATTGGAAAAGTGGGTACCAATGTCTCACAACAGGATCGTTAATGTCACCGTCGGCGACGTCATCACTGTCCACGCCGTCAAGGGTCAGGCGGGAGAGAGTGTTGAGATGTGGTTTGCCGATGATGTACGGTTCGGTGCTTTGAAAACTATTATAGGACAGACGGCCTGGGTAGTATCATATATGAAATAAAATCTCATCCTGTTAACAACTCTGACCTCAGAAGAGCTTCAACGGTTGCTGTTGTCATGGGTATCCTAGCAACAATGATGCTCATGATGTAAGACGAAACTGACTGCATTGTTGCTGGTTGGTCGACACAAGGCCAAAACTCCATCTCATCTCATTGGGTTAATTCTGTATTAATAAGCAGTTACATTTTGATGGTATACTACTACTTCTTTAATGTGACAGAGATATCCGTACCGTTCGATTGGGTGTTTTGTTCTTTTAAAGCTTGGTGCGGATTTGAACTGAACCATTCTGTTCTTCCAAAGTCGGCACAAACAAAGCTCGTTCATAATAGGGTCCTGACACAACTGAAGAGTATCAGGCATTGTGCAATACATTTACCATTCTAGATTTCTTCAGTTGTTCTGGGCTACTTTCTATTACATACAAAAGTTAACATATTATGACCTAACATATCTTTTCCAAGCCTGTGAATGATGCACAATTAGTACCTGCTTTGGTACTAATTTTTCGTAATAAACTATCGGAATCTGTGACCACAAAAACATCTCCCAAAACAAAATGTGCAACTGTCAATGATCACCTGTATCACACGGAATCAGCTCCATGCGAAATGCATAATGCCAAGGTATATGTTTGGTGGGAAATGTTTTCTATGGGACTAATTCCCCCGAGAAGATGTTTACAAAGGATGTTTACCGCTATGGTAACAGATACTCTTTGGCACCGTCCCTTTGAATTGGTGCGTAAGTGTTCTTCTTCCTATGCATTAATTGTTTGACCTGTCGAAAATCAGAATGTTTTGTCACACACACATAACTATAACACCTTTGTTCACTTGGCTTGTTTTGTTTGGAAGAATGTATCAGAATGTATGGTGTTTGCTGTGTACCTGGGCCGTAAGATAGTCGTAAGTTTATGTTAATGTAAGGCACTTACGACTATCTTAGCGCTTAGAGAGCTTCGAAAATCTGGGCCCTTACCAAACAAGAATTGTGTTTGGGACCGAAAATTTAACTCGGTTTACATTGAGTTCCGTGTAAGAAATTAACATGGTTACTTTTTTATCGTAAAGTTTTTATTAAATCAATGTTTGGTTTGGGCAGGTTCCGCTCTAATGTTATGTTAATCGATCGACCGTTTAGTCGAGGATCCAGACTGGCAGATACTTTACAGCAGGTCACTTTAACATGTTGTACAGTTCCGGTGGTGAGATCACTGCGGGGTGATCCAGGAGACTGTTGTATCAAAGCCTTGTAAGCGATAGGCTGTTCTAAGCCCTGAATGGTTCCATCTTCATGTTTCATTACTTTATGGTATCAACAAAATGGGTTGTGCAAATCGGTTATTGAACTGCCAGATTGCCAATAATGTGTCATTAGATTTGTATATTCACATATTGTTGTCCGACAAATCCGGTTTGGAAACAATTACTTTCTCCTTCTGTCTTCTTCAAAGTGGTATGAGTTCTTACGATTATTTCTACTTGCCAAATGTATATCTTCTGACAATCTTTTGGTAGTTTACTTATGGTGTTCACAAAAATGCAATGCAACACATACAGCCATGTGCTTGCACTAACGAAGCATGTCTCCATCTTAGCGCATATTATCGTTGATGTTTTGTATAAAGCCTCCTGTTACGTAAGTGCCACGCTGAGGTATGGATGGTGTCATTGGAAGTTTGAAAAAATCTATGTATTGTGTTTCCAAATTAATGGGGGGTTTACAACTTGTTAGTGAAACATTTTAGTTTTAATCTTGCCTTCATGTAAAATACATTAATTTCATTGGTCAATGACGCTTTAACAAGTTTCCGTGTCACCAATCCCAGGAGGGTGACAACTGGAAAAAATATTACCCGCTGCCACTGTAACCGCCAAGCTCTCCATCGAGAAGCTGTATCGCTAACAATCGTATGACGTCATAACATGACGCATACAGTGCATGGAGTTCGAAACCTGTTCGCTTACCTGTTTTTGAGTTCACTTTGTACACATTTGTTTGACCGGCTTTCAGTTCTTTATTTAATTACTATTATATATATTGGATCGTTTTGCACACTCTTCGTAACATAATTAACCATTTTTATGGCAGCTTTTAGAACTTATCCATCTTCAAAATAAAATGATATTTTGTACATTTAACATGGCGGTAGGATAAATACGTTGTAAACGGCTCGGATGACACTACTACAATGAAGCGTACATCAGACCATATTACGCTCGAGAGAAGCATACAACTTATAGCATCAACCCTCCCCATGTCATATTACTGCTATGAAATGTACGTTTGGCGTCAGATCAAACCTTGCCATGACAAGGATCCCTTTTTTATATTAAAGCTTGTACAATAACAGTCTGGTGACAAGGGCTTTAAGATGTGAGTATGTATGAAAATGATTTCAATGTCTACCTTTGTCACGTGCGACTACTTGCGGTTTGGTCGGGTAACCATACAGACTGTATACTGAATGTGTTTGATGCTATTGTATGTAACATGCACTGTAAGAAGACATGACATTGAAGAAGTGATGAAGGTTTGACCCTGAAGTCGTTTGATTGGCACTGTGGGCAATAAGAGAAGAGGTCAAAAGCTTTGTTACACCATTGGTTATCATATATCGTTTTGATTAGTTTCTATCACCGTTCATGATTATTGCATCCAGTTAGAATGTGTTGTATTCAAATATATGTGTCTTGATCTTTATAATAAAGCTAACAAATATCACCACGTGTTTAACGGTACCCAAACCTTAGCCTTTCACGCGGGCTGTGAAACTTGAGCCTTCATCGGGAATTCTTCAGTAGAACATTGTTTATTTGCTTATTTTTGTCTTTTTGCAGTCAGCAACGTTTCCATTATATTGCAAACACCCGTAAACAATCGACTATTAAAAGGCCAACTAGTGGTTTCGGTATCTTTAACAACTCCCACAGCGCGGATACGATGGCAAGAGATGACTGAGCACATACCAAGACCATCCGATGTTCTTAAGTCGGCTCTTTCCACCTGCATGGCATAGATGAGCCATGGATATATCAGTAGATGTATACACATTTCACTCCTCGTGGTGGCACACTTGTACCTGATGGTCAATGGTTTGAATGGTTGCGTTATGCCAAATCACGTCAAGAGATGGTAATTGTTTCACATGGATACTCCTCTCAGACACAGTGTAGTGAGTCCGGACAGACAAGTCTTTGTTTAATCATGTTCATGCCTTGCGTCACGCAGGATATAGCAGGGGGTGGGGGTAAGTACAGGACAGGCAGTTGCTGGCAACGAATTATTAACTGAAATACTCTTAGACGTCTTTACTATCAGCTTTTTCCACACCTCAACAAACATTGCATTTGATGTTGCGGTAAGCTACAAGCAAGGTTGAAGAAACTCATATGCTAATTATTTCGTATTTCAAAATTATTTTCTTAACATTTGACTCTTTTTTTAAGTTGCTGGCCAAATGAGCCCTTGTTATGCTACACTTCAAAGCCATATCAAATGAATGAGTGAGTGAGTGAATGATGCTTTGATCCGCATCAGCACTTTTGTAGCTATACTGTGCAAGCATCTCAAATGCTTACCATATCCATGAGAGGTAAAAGAGAATATAATCCAAACATCTATCATTACTTTACTGGGACTTTGTTGATAAAGTAAAACTGCAACTTTCAAATTATGCTGGTCAGGAATTGCCCAGTTGTCTCAGGCGCTAAAACATGTTGTGCAGAGTTGGGTTCGTTGGACTGACCAGAACGCCATGTTTGTAGGTTAGAATTCTGATTCTGTCATGTCGTTTTCCTAGATGTTTTCAGCAACATATCATGCTACTACGTGATAAACGTTTTAGATCCACATCACTTCCTTCCCCAATGAGACATGACATACTGTGTTTCGCTTGTCAATTGAAACTGTAGGATGTTCATAGAACGATGAAAAAAGATTCTGAAACAAAATAAAGAAACAACAAAAAAAAAACCCATAAATGCATCAATTTGAATGCTGTCATGCTTAAATTATTTTTGTCATCTCTGAATACATTATGTCATCAACAAAGTAGTTCTTGAAAGGTATTTAGAACTTTATGACAAACATAAATATAGGACACGTTGTATAGATAACTTCTTTTTATTCTTTACACGACGTTTACAGCTAATTCTTGCTCCTTCATCAGAAGAATGAATTATCGTGAGAAAGAATAGAAAGAAGTTGTTTTCCATAAAGCATGTCATGTATTCATCAACAAAATAGTCAGTAAACGATATGTTTATACCTAACTAAAACAACGGTGGAAATCCACGTCTACATATTTGACAATGATCAACGTATCCAACCTATGGGACAAGAAATCCTTACGCCTATGAACCATTCTACGTATCTTACGTCCCATGGAGGAGATAAAGATATGTTTTCATTCGGTCGATTGACGCTTTCTTTCACATGTACAACCACACAGATCAATTTTCACTGTGTCTTCAACAAATGTATGCAGAGTAATAAGATCTCCCTCCTCTTTTGGGGGCATGTACAAATGTACGGCACTTCGCGAGTCCTTAGTACTTCCGGTGACAAACAACGTTTCGAATGGTCTCATCAAATCCGTGAAGGGCACTTAGAAGTAGAATGCATGAGAAGAGCAAGATTTATGGATGTCAACTTCTTTATTGTGAATAACACCACGTTTCGGAGCTTATGCTTGCTCCTTCACCCGAAACGCTCAGAAACGTCGTGTTATTAACAATAAAGAAGTTGACATCCATAAATCTTGCTTTTCGAATGGTCCCATGGTTGACAGTTGACAGTAAGGAAGCAATAATCATTGCAGGAATAACAAATTTCCGATCTAACCAACCCCCATTAACCAACTGTTACGACTATCAACAGTTGTGACAGACAAGCATGGTTGTACACTTGGTTCGGTCTAGTAAAGTCATATTTGGCGGTCCCAAACGGGTTCATGCTAGAAACAACTACGTCTTACAAATACTTAGAAGTTTATTTTACAAACCAACTATCGTGGTCCTTTCATGTCAGAAATGCAGAGATCGATGCAAGCAAAGAAAATACTAATTGGTAGTATCAGATATATTTATATTTTAGGTGACTTGTCAAACAAATGATTTTTGAGAATGTTTGATGCTAAGATTAGTCCCATACTTCTATATGGTTCTGAGATTTTGGGAGTCCAAACATTTGATACACTAGAAAAAGTAAATTTGAATGCAATTAAAAGATTTCTCGGTGTGAAAGTTACTACTTCAAACATAATGGGTTATGGTAAATGTGGTAGATTTTCATTATTTGTTGAATCAAAAGTGAAAGCAGTAAAATATTGGTTAAAACTCTTAAATATGCTATCTTACAGATTACCACAAAATGTTACAATATGATGATTTTGTACGATAGAAATCATTATGGAAAACGTAATTAGGTCACAGATGTTAATGTTTTTTTATTATTTCCTGCCGGTTTCGGTAATATATGGCTAGAACAGTGCATAGACTTGCATCCAAATTTTCTCATGTCCATTAAACAAAGGTTACAAGATATATCTGTATCAAATAAATGCTTTTTATTACAGAATGTTTAAGCAATTTACATACAACAAAACCTATTTATCATCTTTGAATGTTCGGAAATATTTGTTCATAGAAACGTATATATATTGGAATAAGAAAAGAAGATGGAATATGTAAAATGTGTGATTTGAATCTAATTGAAGATGAATATCATTTTCATTGTGTCTGTGCAGCCTACCACACTTTGAGAAATATATATATATTAAGAACTATTACTTTGTACATTAGAATATTTATAAATTTATATCTCTATTAACCTATTCTAGCAAGGAACACCTGGAAACATTGTCAATTTTTCAGTATCATGCCTTTCTACACAGAAAAAAAGTACTCTCTCAACTGCCTAATAATAATAGTGTCTGTATACATGTACTATAGGCCTGTGACATATTAAGTGCAAATACAGATTGATTGAACTGGTTCTTGAATATACGTTTGTGACCAGAAATCTGGTACTGGAAGTAAGCTGGGTCCCGTCTCGCACATCGCAAGTTGACGCCGTCAAAGGGAGACGGGAACCAGCTAAGTACCGGAAGTAGCGCCTCGCGAGACTTACAGGCCCTATTTCACGTTTTTGGCATGACCAATTAGAATAGAATATCTTCTAATTTACTAACTTCTGGTTATGAGTTGTGAGAAACCTTTATTTCCTTATGATCCGCAGGAGAACACGAGCCAACATGTCCACAAAACGTCGCATTACCTCACAAAATATTCTTTTCCACCACACACATTCCACATTTCCAATCAACCAGCCCCCATAGTCAGTCATTATCATCACCACTGAAACTATGACGGTTTGATAAGGACTGCTTTGGTTATGGGTCACGTGATTATCGGACCGTTATACTACACGTTGTGTAGCTGTACTTTGTCCTATACGAGATGAAATACGGGGGCCACTAAGGTGACCGATAACGCCTACATCGAAACAACCAGTTGACCGCAACTAAATCATGGCTGGCTACTGGTCCGGTGCAGTACTACTTTGTGCGTGTTTCACCTGCTTCCCAATTACAGGTACGTTATGTCTGTCGTGTCACAGATAATATAATCAATATATTCCTACGTGTTCGGAAACAAGTCATGTTGATTACTGTTATCTCAATCCCGTGAAATAGGGTCTAGAACAGTGGCCTATATGTTCACAGTGTCACCTGTGACAGGTAATATGTGTTGAATATGATACCGATTGTCAAAGAGACCCTGGAATGTCACAAAGAAATCATTTACTTGTAACAAATAAGAAAATCCACGTCAATACACATATCTTTACATGTAAACTGACGGAAGACTAGAGAATGATACTTATTAAACATTCTAGTTACCGTAAAACACCGTTGTGTCGAACTTATGACTGTCAGGAAATATAATGTGGTCTCTTCATATGCTTTCTCTATTCATCTTTTTCGGCTTAGTCGAATGTCGCATTACTCGAAGTATTTACGTTGGTCACTTCATATCCGACGCCTTCGAGTGCTCGACTGAAATGAGAAGAATATTTCCAAACAGTGCCGTTATAAGTGTTGGATTCAAAAGCTAGTTATAATATGAGGTTTGGGGGCTGACGTATGCAAAGCTGAACTACCAACGTCACCCAGATACAATCTCTGCCTTCAATACGTGCCATATCAGCGGGTGTATTTCCCGTTTGACCCAGTGTCACCCACTAATGCCACGTAAATGTAACTTTAAAAAGCCAAAACGAGATGTTAATTATGTGCCGTGCATCATCATAAACAAGTCATAGAGGGGAATGTACACTAAATCGCCTTTGTAACATCAGTGATAAGCAATCCAATCTCAGTATATAGATACGCTTAACTTGTCTACTTAATGTGTTAATGTCGTATATATCGTCATGATTTCAGAGTTAATCCACATCGTAAAAAGAAAGACAATGATAATTCTGATACAGAATCTATTTGTGTGCACTGTGATACGAATGTTGTACAAAATGAATACTATGTTTTCTTTATCTGTAATAGATATTTTCTTCTCCGTAATGAATACTTCTTGTCCATCAACAAATATTGTAAAACTAGATTAACATTACAACAAATATCAAACACACCTGATGTAAATATACTACGTTTAACATCTATATATTTGCTAAAAATATTGGCTGAAGATCTTCTTAATAATTTGGTCATGTGACGACTGTATACCTTACAATACAATTGTACTGTGGGCCATTTGGCCTAAAATATGGAATAAACTTGACTTGACTACGAGCATCTTCAAGAATGTCTACTGGATTAATCTGTATCTCCTATAGATTATTACAGCGTACACTTGATTCCACAAGCATCAACAAGTAATAACTTTCCCACCACGGTTTACATTGACATTTGTAACACGTTCCTGACAGTTCATATTTATTAGAAACGAAGTGCGAAAACGTTTGGTTCCAACTCTACAGTGGGACTATTTCAAATAGGAACCACAATAGGTTTATCTCCTAAATCGGGTGGTTACTATGTGTAACTTTGACCGTAACATTTCATGATGTCCCGATGGTAAGGACTCCTGGCATCAACCAAAGCACTTGCTCAGAGAGTCGTGAAGGTTGGTAAAGTTTCCGTGGCAACGTTCATAGTGCTATTTTTCTTGGATATTCTTAACATGCTCTTGGTAATGAAGGCACGAATCTCGATTGACGTAAACGTTTCCAGTGTTAATAGTTAGAGACCGGGGCGATAACATAAAGTTAGTCTGGCTCACAGTTATCTGTCCTTCTGTCCAGTCCTTTATGTAATAGGTCCGGTAGCCTTTTAGTTGAAGCTTCCGCTAGTAACGCGAGTATACACTGTGTGAAGCCCATTTCTGGTGTCACTCGCCATGATAAGGATGGCATACTGCTAAAAGCTGCGTGAAACCAAACTCACTCACTCACCTACACGTGTAATGCAAAAGACACCTATGAAGCAAGTGTAGATTTTACTCAGGTTCAGAATCTTCAATCTCACAGGGCATTTCAGTCTAAAAGCGAGAATAGACTCCGAACCTCAAACTTTGTATGATTTAATAGTTGTGCACGATGTTTAGTCCGAGGCGCGGTAGCGCCGAGGACTAGACTTCGTGCACAACTATTGTCGTGTTTGAGGAGTCTATTCTACTTAAATCCTAAATTCAAGACTCCGTTATCCAAGTTGTTGGATATTGGCGTCTTAAAAATAGAGCAGCTACAGCGGTGTGAAAAGCGCGAGAAGCACGTGCATTTCGCATATCGCGACTATTGGAGACCTTTATAAGGCGGCGTATACACGTGCATGATAGTTGCAACAACCACATTGAGATTTACACGTTCAGTGAGTATGTCGAGCGACACCGATGGAGAAATATTCCTTACCCAGACCAAATTCTCACAAGATGCTGAGATTTCATTTGATGAAACAGACATATACTCTGAGTTTCAAGAACTGATAGATTCAGACTATGCAAAGCCCGATTTTGATATTGAATATGACTCTGACAAATCTGAAATAAAAGTAGGCAATGATTCCTCTGATGAAGAGCTTTGCGCGCTTCACAACAAATTGAAAAAGAATTTTCCAGCTGCACTAGTTCTTCTCGTTTTGGAAAGCCCCTGACCAACGAGGAATGTATGGATTTACAAAATATGTCTAAAAATAAAAATACTGACAAAAAATGTCAGTGGGCCGTTCGTATATTTGACTCATGGTACAAGGAAAGAAAGGGCACAGATTTACGTTTTGGGCAGACTCTTTTGAAGTTAAGTGATGAGGATTTATGTAAACAATTGGTATTGTTTGTGACAGAAGTGAAAACCAGAAAGGAGGCGAATACCATGGAAATACCATTCATGAAATCCTCATGTCAATTCAGTATTTCCTCCGGGAAAACGGTAGGGATGTAAACTTCAATGCTGATTTTGAATTTGCCCCTCTACGGAAAATGTTAGACGCAAAAATGAGATCATTGGCCCAGAGTGGAATCGGTATTCATAAGCGAAAAGCTGACGTGATAACTCGCGAACAGGAGGATTTACTATGGCAGAAGGGGATACTGGGCGATGAAACACCACAAAAACTTCTGGACACAATGTTTTACATAAATGGTATATGCTTTTGTCTTCGGGGTGGGGATGAACATCATTCGTTGAAAACTGGGGAAAGAGGCAATTTCAGCATTGTGATGAAGAATGGTCAAAAGCATTTACGATATTCTGAGGGTGTGACAAAAACAAACAACGGAGGTCTGAAACACAAAAATGTAAGTCCTAAGTGTGTGGTAGTTGCAGAAAATAAGGAAAATCCCCAACGATGTCCTGTCAGGATTTATGAGAAGTACATGTCATTAAGGTTTGTGCTGATATAGTGTAACTGTAATATCCCCACACCCCACACCTCAACATCCCGCACCTCCACAACCCAACATCTTCACACCTTACATAAGTCCCCATGGACCCTAATTATGGTGGTCAACCTTCTATAGCCCATGTTTTATATTGTAACGTGTTCCTAAATTGAAATGTTTTATTTCTTCATGCTAGTTTCACGTTCATAACTGTGATATTCTTGTAATTTTACTGTCCTTTGTTGACAGGGTTTTACAATTTATCATTAATTTATTTGTACAGATTGTTCTCGTCACCATTTGCCTGAGATATTGCCGCTGTGACGTTAAATATTAACTCACTCACACCTCATGCCCCAACATCTCACAATTCCGCACCCCACACCTCCACACCCCCATGAAAATGGCGTTCACAATAGTTATTGTTATACTGCAGTGATATAAACCGCACAATGTATTTTAATACCCTCACCAATCAGTTTGTTGGCATAACTCTCAACTATTATTGCTGAAAAGGCACCCACAAAGTTCTAATCCTTGCATGATTACGACAGAAAGGGTAGTCTCAGATGCCACTGTTCGCTATGCAGAGTTGCGTCCCTTGTGCATGCCAGGAAGTTCTACACGTGCGACACATTCGACATTTGGAGCTTTCCTTCCACTTTTAGCTGATACGCCGTAATATAGCTGGAATAGTGCTCAAAGCGGCGTTGATCCATGCTTACTGTTCACGTAGTACTGTATGTAATGTATGAAGTTTTCATTCAAAGAAAGGTTGTACGTATTATTTCTACCTGACTGATCATGATATGGTCTTCTCATCATGATATGGTCTTCTAATCACACAAATCGCATAACAAACCCTAAAAGTCTATTCGTTGCCAGTTGACAGTGGGGTTTGATTCGTTTAATAAATCTAATAAACGTTTACTTTTCGTTTTAGAATTAGAACATACTTTGAATTTGCGCTGCAAGCCCACTTTCTCTATTTTATGACAATTTCGAAACACAGAGTCTGTCTTTATAACAAAACGTTTTACTGCTTTCTTGAACAGACCAAGTGAGTGCGACGCATTTTACGTCCGTGCTTTGAAATACCCCCAAGCCTGACACTTGGTACTGCTCCGTAGCAGTGGGGAGGCACACCTTGTCTGGCGTTGTGAAGAGGCTGTGCGAAATGGCTGGCTTTAAGGGATTCTTCACAAACCATTCTCTCCGAGCTACGACAGCCACACGCCTATACGAGTCCGGCATAGACGAGCAGCTGATCGCCGAAAGAACCGGACATAGATCCTCGGCAATCAGAGAGTAAGTAACTCTCATTTGTATTTTATCTAATATATACACGCGTTCATTCATACGTACTGAAAAAAAACACACCAATATTTTAAAATTTAATATCCAAACTTGAAAGTTATGATAAGATGTATTGGGTTTCATTATTAAAACCTAATGTATAAATTCAGAAGAATGTTATCATGCATTGTGCATACTGATAGGACAGATTAATACTGTGTTCCTTCCTACAGGTACAAACGGACAAGCGACCAGTTGCTGAAGGTTGTCGACGACGTCGTACAAAAACAAACGTCGAGCAAAGCCTGCAACTTCTGCTGCGACATTACCATGCTCTTCCCGCCAGGAATCCTCATGCACTTCCTCGCCAGCTCCGGACAAGTCTCAAACCACGCCAATATCATTTACAGTTGAGAGAAAGGGAACCAAGATTTCGTTCAAAATGTAGAGAAAAATAAATTCCCGAATGGTTTGTGTTTTTTGTTTGTATATTTTGAAAAGGCTTCAGTGAGTAGTGGAATAGGTTTCACCAATTCAGTAGACCGAAAAATAGTCCTAGTACTATTGGCGTCCTACTTAGCACTATTGGTGCCCTACTTAATACTATTGGCGCCCTACTTAGCACTATTGGCGCCCTACTTCGCACTATTGGCTTCCCACTAGGAACTAATGGCTTGTGCCCATGGAACTAACCAACTCCAATTTAGGTTTAAGTCTTCAGTGTAGTTACCTTCCCAGACGGACGTTACGACATAAAGATCCATAATGTCGTGTGGTTGAGCAGCGCCCCAACATTCTTTGTCATCAACGACACGCGCTTCTCCGCCGATGATGGCAGCCTCGTTCTCGACAGCATCAACACTACCGTGTCCGGTAGCGGCCAGTTCGGGGCCGAGGTCTCCAAGAACTTCCATTACCGAGCTGGTGACGTTCCCATCATCACGAGCATCGTCATATACGGGACATCAATCATGTCATTCATAGTGGTAATGTACATTTCAAACATTTCAACGTTCAGAACGCAAAAAATAATCTTTATTGTAGATGGATGTAAATACATTTACACGTCCCACATTGATGCTTCTCATTTCGTTTTACATTATTGTAATTATTGTTACGTTAGGGAACATTCTTTACTTATAACATGTTCTTTCTACAACACACATCTAGCTGGAAATTTCGGCTGTGTTTGTAAATAGTTACGTTATCTGATTGTTTCGGACTTCCTCTGTTCCCGTCCACTTGCTTTGTTTTGTATAAGTTGTAAACAATATGTGTTTGAAGCTTCTGCAAGGAAGCACTTTAAAAAACACGAGGATAATTTGGATATTCATGATGACTCTTTCATTTCATTTTGATGAAGCGCTTCCCCGACGGAGCCTCAAACACAAATCAAAGCAACATAGACGGTGTTTTCTGTGGTTTCCCCGGATTCAAACTGGACACCACGTCCAAACTGGGATACATGTCGTTCGGGGGAGCTGACTTTCAAGAACAGTCCGTCGGAAGGTACGCTACTCGGTGAATAATAGACAAATTGCTATTTGCACTGCAAGTAACAATGGCGATAATAAAGTGGAATTCATGTCAATCCAAAACTTTGTTTTTTAAGAAATAACTTCTTTGTTTACAATGTAGACCAACGATTCGGTGTAGATTCTAACACTGCTATAAAACAGGTGATGTACAGGGTAATTTAGGGAAGCTAATATGCAGATATGAAGTAGCGTTTTACTTTGGAGCATAGACGCCTGTTGAATACACAGGAGAGAATCTGAGATACATTAGGTCCTTACAAATGAAACCAGTCCTTACAAATGAAACCAGTCCTTACAAATGAAACCAGTCCTTACAAATGAAACCACAGAAGGATTACCTCTCATTGAAGTCTTTGATGAGATGATGGTAAGCTGGGGTATGTATCAGCCTTGGTGATGACTGATAGATGGTTGAAGTCTTAAATATGGATGTCTTCTTGGAGATGTCTGAGTTTGAAGTGAGGGCTCTGGTTTGTCGTACTGGATGCTGTGGTTTTAACGAATATGGTCAGATAGATCTGATTTCGTGTCTTGTTTAGACACCGAGCAATGTTATGTTGATGCTTGTTATCGTATCCCAGCAACGTAGATAGATGCTCCAGGTGTCAATCATCCGATAGTCTTGTTTAGACTCGATTATGTACAGGCCGCTGTATGTCCCGAGACATACGAAAACTGGATACGATCTGTTCTCTTGTCTCTTATCTGACGGCACGTATTTGGCTTCCTGGGCTTAGACTCAATAATATATCAACTGATGAAAAACACATATGCATCGGAATCTCAGTCTGTGAAATAATATCAAATGCTGGACTTGCTTCCATTGAGTGAGCGAGTGAGTGAGTACAGTTTTATGCCGCTTTTAGCAATATTCCAACAATATCACGAATAGGGACGTCAGAAATGGGCTTCACACACTGCACCCATGTGGGGAATCGAACCCGGGTCTTCGGCGTGACGAGCGAACGCTTTAAACACTAGGCTACTCCACCGCCCCACTTCCATGGAAGATTGTCAAGATGAGTTAGAATAGATATAGATGAAAAAATGTCTTTTCAAAGATTTTTGCGGTGGGTCGGAGTTAGAGCACGACAGCTTTAAGATTGGTTTGTGCTAGACCTTATTGGGATGTTTCGTACGTTTACCCTTCAGTCATAATTTGCCAAATGGCCTTTGTTCTTTTGCGGCAACACTTGACTTGGCTCCGTGAGCATCTAATATGATATTTGTGATGGAATCGGTGATTTGTTATTACGAAGATATGTTGCTGTCCCCAATCATATTGAATACATTTCGTCACCTGAATAGGTATATTTCTGAGACAAGACCCAACAAACTGCAAATAATTTCCCATACATAATGTCTCCCTGTTACTGGAATATTCTGGGCTGCCTGTGGTCATACACAAACATATTACTGAATCTGACACTCACGAAACACTGACTTTTCTTCAGGTGGGATCCGTCCGCATCCATCCATGATGGTTTGGAAGGTTCCAGCCCCTTCTCAGTGTTTGACTCGAGTGGAAATGCTGTGGCATTTGCACAACTGAATAATGTCATGACGACACCAATGTGGCACGACAAAACCAACAACTTCCTGTACTATGGAATTATGGGAGGAATCGAACAGATCCCGACAAATTTCTCCTACCACATTATGGCAGCATATTCCTCGGCGGGACCTGAAAGTGTAAGTAGAAATTCTATTTAGTGAACATCTCGTCGGTTCGTTTGAGGAATAAATGGTGTTTAAAGGGTTATTCATTCAGCGACTATATTTTGTCCATTTCTGAATTTCAAGTAGGTTCTAAGAAAAGGGTGTTTGAATCAAGTCGATTAACAAAATGGCTGCCGTACCTCGTTTTCCTCCAAATACTAAAGACACCAAGCGTAACCCTTGCCACATGCACGAGTAAATCACACACAAGGCACAACCAGACATAGGAGTCCGCACATGTCGGTAGTCCTTGTGTCTTCAACAGGTATGGAAGGTTGCAGAACTCGTGTCCATCGGGGGTTGACGAAAAGACGAATTCCACGTACAAAGCATCGCACTACACCACAGACCTTGTTTTATGGACTGGATTCTTGACAGACACCAGGATCTGCTACTGTCCTAAAACGACATGTTTAGGCATATGATATTGTTGTTGATGAGCAGCAAGCCTGTTGCTCTCTATGACCAGAAGTCACATTGTTAATGTTGTTTATGAGTGAACAGAGTTTCAGTGTTGTTGGTCGGTAGGCATGTCGTTATTGTTGGTTTCAGTGCACACCGTGTCTTCGTCCTTACCAATAGGCACCGTGTTATTGACGCAGTTCTGTCGAACATATTAAAGACAACCATCTGCTCTGAATATCATCCTCTATATACATGAGAATATGTGTTAGTTTGTTACGATTAAGATCTACATTTTTAACTTATCCAAATGTGTTGGGATCATCGGGTTCTGCTAGGACAATATGCCTGTTTATAGCTCTGGAGCTGTGATACCGACTAAATAGACATGCATACCCAGCACACTTTGAAACTGTCGACAAACCAATATTCGTTAGCAGAAACTAAAACTCTCTCTTAATAGATTATTGTGTGTTCCTGACTTTAGAAATGTTTCCGTACAACTGTTTCAAACTGGTGATTTTATTTTCAACTTTTCAGAGTCTGTCTGTGTGGGGTTTCGTAATCAGGAGCTTGGTATACAAGGAAGATAAACCGGCGGATCCCTCTGGGGACACACTGGGGTACTGGACAGATGAAGGTGACATTAAACAATTTAATTAATGTCTACTTTAAGTCATTGCTGTTTGACAATGGTACAAGAATCCGTATAGACGCGTCTCACCCAAGAGAAATACAACAGTCGTTATCCATAAAGTGTGTTAAATAGTGAGCTTTAGGTCTTGGCTTTGAATGTTTTGGGACAGTTTCCGGGCAGATTTGTGTTTCTCTGCAAACGTGTCATTTGTAATATTTATTGTCTGAATAGAGTACGTGAGTATAGTTTAAGCAATATTTCGGCAATATGACGAGATATAGGCTTCACACATTGTACCCATGTGGGGAACCGAACCCGGGTCTTCAGCGTGACGCGCGGACGCTTTAACCTCCAGGCTACCTGTCTGAATAGAAGTGATCAAACGATATCTAACGACTCAAAGGCACAAGATAATAGTACCACCAACATATGTCACACTGAAATCCCCTTGTGTACAATGACAACTTCCAGTACCTAAATCGAGGGTTCGAATCCCACTTCGCACTTGGTGTTTGTCTAGGTTTGGTAGCACCATACCAATGTTCTTTTGTTTTCGAAGAGTGGTGAATGCTTCAGACCTGCATCCCTTCAGTGGGACCTTCTGCCTTCATGTGCCTACTGTTTCCATGTCAAGGCGTCAACGTCCTACTGTTTCCATGTCAAGGCGTCAACGTCCTATTGTTTCCATGTCAATGTTACAGGGTCCTACTATTTCGAGAAAACCGATGGAACATCAACGTATGAAGATACATTGATCAAAGTGTTTGCTGATGCCCGCAATAGAAGTATACCATACAGGTACCTGTATAGTTTTGGTACAATAGGACAACAATTGATAAGATGGCGTATTGCGTCGTTGAGGCAATGTATTTATGTTTAGTTTACAGTATATACATCTTGATAACTGAAACATCTGGCCGACTGAGTCGCCTGAGGAGCAGATTTGTGTGACATTTATGTTCCTTCCGATGACTGAATATTTCAGACCAAAATCATGAATAATGGTTCCAGTGAATAATGGTTCCAGTGCCGCGATATGTGATTAACGTGAACATATCCTGCAACTTAGCATGTTACCCATACGCTGTGGTATATCTCTATTTGCACAACAGATAATCTTTATTCCTTGATCTTTTCGTTCGGAACATATATCCTCATTCCTGTTTCTCCTCTTTCGGTGCTTATCTTTCTTTCTTCCTAAATCTTCCGTATTCCTTGGTCTCGTATTCTGCAAATGATCTATTGTTATTCCTAATGCATGCACTCCTCGTATATACGCTTATTCCTGTTTCATATCTTCTGCAGGTATGTAGAACTGGACACCTGGTGGTTTACAAAAGGTCAAGGTGGAGGGGTCAAGGAGTGGACAGCACCAGCAGACATCTTCCCCAACGGCATCGAGTACGTCTACAGTAATCTAACATTACTGGTGGTAAATCAGTTTCCATATGGCACATTGATATCAATGGTAACACTGTACTACCAAATATTTTTAGTGTTCATCAATACATAGGTAGCCCGACTGAAGAAGATTCTATACGATTTACAACTTTGTGGAGATTATGTGTTCGGTTTTACACAAGTTCTGAAAGAGAAATTGAACGTACTTGATAAATCCCAGCAACCCTAAACCCTTATGTAGCAAGTCATTCACACACGCACGCATGCACGCGTGCGAAAAATAGAAAACTGATTTTTGGTGGAAGGGTAGTTGTCTTGACATATCCCGCTTTAAGACCTGACCTGCCCATTGAGAATAAGATGATGACATGGATTGTGTTGTTGTGGACTAGTCGGACAACACCACCTTCAGAACGATCTGGGATACTGGTAATACAGATATAATTTATGTTATGTTTGTTTTCAGGTATGTCCACAGGAGTTTGAAAGTACCTATTGTGGCGAAAAATAATTTCTGGTGAGTTGTGAGAAGGGAGCTTCGCAGAATGAACTAAGTGAAAGCATTAACATACTTTAGTCTTTGACGGCTCAGTAGGGACATGATCGGGTTGTCTGTGTCTTAGTTGGGTGAGGGGCTCGGCCAGTTGTCCTGGAGGCAGTGACTTCGCTACACTTCCGAGGACATTGTTTCGTGGTCTGTTGTGAAAAGCACTACGATGTCCAGAAGGACATTAATTATGTTACGTTGATTCCGTGAAACTGTGCCACGTTCAAAAGAACTCATTTCAATATTTATTTATTGCAGGTCCAGTGATAACATATATGCAACACAAAATGGCGGACAGTTCAATTTTGAAATGGAAGAGAGACATGGCAATACCGACAGATGAGGCATTTACAAATATTATTGATTTATACATATAGTTTACATTGAGTGTGGAACGGTTTATTTCATCAAAGTAACTGGTCTTGTTTCATAATAATATGATATATTTAGGTAATCATTTTTAATACTGAAATATGGAACCATGAAGATTTAGTATTTGAAATACAACAAGTGTATCATGATGTGTCCACAAACAATGTCACTTAAAGGAAGTGATCTACTGATCCACTCAATTTTTAACCACTCTGACCCTGACTTTAAACCAATCACCAGCGCCCTGTGGTGGTTGTAAGAGGCGACTAAAAAGATCCTTTGGTCAGGCTATGTTGTTTGGTAGATGGCGTGTCATCATACTACGAAAGCGTGGAGTGACTGAGAGAGCTGGATTTTTACGCCGCGTTTTAAAGCTTGTCTCATGCTGAGTCTACCTCAACAAACAATGCAACAATCTACCAATGAAGGAGCTGTGAAAATACTTTTCGATTCGGAACCATGTGACGTCAGAGAATGATTTGTATATTTCCAGGCGTTCTGGGACAAAATCTTCAGTGATTCCAAGCAGTGGGGGATTGGCCACATATATACAGGTAGGATTTGCCACCATGCGCTCTCGATTATATTCTGCACTGAATTATGCATCGATATTTCTTCAAAAAGGCTTTCTTAGAACGTTAACGCTGATGACGTCACAAAACAATCAGACGTTTCAGTGTAATCGATATTCTAAAGAGGCGGTCGTGAATTGTTTTATGGTACATATTGAACAAACAGGGTATTAGCAGAATGGTAGTAGTAAGTGTATGTCCCGGTTCTTATTGTTATACACGTTAAGTGAAAGTTCTGTACGGAACAATATATGCTGCATGCTTTATATTCGCGCAATTTCTAAACAATGATGACAAAAATCCTTCCTGACTGATACAGAAGTGCCCGAGGGTCTCAGTGATGTTGCAAATACTTTACAATACCGCTTATTGCGAAGTTTAATCTATGTGTATCAGTCAACAGAATATTGTCTCCTGCAGGACAACATGACGGAAATATTCCGTACTTTCCCCACGGATGCAGACGGACCTTAACCTTGCGCGAGATTGGTTGGTTAAAATGGCGGCGTCTGCTTTGAGACACAACATCACAATCCAGTACAGTGGAGCCACCCCAACGATGGCGCTCTTGGCACTCCAGTTACCGGCTGTCACCCAGGTCAGAAACAGTCGTGGATGTTGATGTCGGTACATTTAGCATATTCACATTGGCATAATACGTTTAGTGTACATCCACTTTAGGACAAATTATGCATCCAGTCATAAGAAAGGTATGGTCCAGTCTGATGTTTCCCCCGATACAATCCTCTGTATGAAGATCTAACAACTCGCAACAGGATATATTTTGTCATATGCCATGACGTATGAAACGACAGTGAAACATCGACATATATATAGTTGGGCTATAATAGTTACATTCGGAATGCGGCGTTGTACTTCGTTTCGAGTTACACAAATCAGATTTGCTGCTCCGAATGCTTCTCACTCGCACCGAGAATTTACATTAGATATTAATACCTTTATCCAGGTGCGCGTCCTGGGAGGCTATGGCACAGAATTGGACCAGAGGAATATTCTTGCTTCGTCCGTATTCTCCGCACTTTTAGATGTGTTGGTCTTCAAAGGTGTGGTCCGTACACAAAACCAGAAGGGAGGTGGGAACATTTCTTATGGTTGCTATTGTGGTTAATGTTAGTTTACGATTTTGTTGTTGATATAACCATTCCCGTTGTTGTTATCGGCAGCGGCCGTTAAGCCTAGTGGTATTGACGGCACGTCTAAACCAGGTGAACCAGCATGACTGTAGACAACTGTGTAAAATCTCTCTCCTTGAACTCCTTAATCAGCTCCGACAACGGTGACATAGGGCTTTGATCGCTGCCTGACGACCCCGAGACATTTGATAGCAAGTCATTTTATTGAAACTTTTGAATAGGATTTGGATCTCAATATACATTTTGATGTTCGAAATTCGTTAAAAAAAGGCGACATGATAATTGACTCAGCTCAGGTACAGCGAAGATATTTTGACATCTTAAAATTGTTCCAACCTGTGAATGTGTAAGGCATGCATTGCCTATATGGCTGAAATTATCCGATGTGGACTAGTACAGAGTTTAGCAATGCTTTCTTTCAAGGCACTGGAACAATCTCTGCAGCCCAGAGCAGCGTGATAGCTGTCCTGTCGCGGGGTCCTGTGGGGATTGGTGACCAGATCGGACATACCAATACTTCCATCATCAATCGGTAGTCACCTTTTCATCTATCCCCTCCCATCAATGATAATAATTATACACAAATGGCCTGAAAACTGAAACAGGGGTCTTTCTGTTTCCCATCTGTTTTGCATTAAGATGTAAATGTATGTGAATTCAACGAGACTGAATTTAATTCTTCTCCGTGTATGTCAATAAATTTTCTTTTACCTTTTTGACATAAACGTGAACCAGGAAAACACATATATAAAGCCCAATATCCGAAACATACGAAATGTCCCCAGAACCAAGTTGTCCAACTGCTCATTGTTCTTGGTGCCTTGGGTTTAGTACCTCCCAGTCTCTTGGCTGTCGTTGGTATAGTGTCCGAGTTAGATGCCAGGAGCACAACCCTTCTGACTCTCTAGGTAATGTAGAAGGTTGCAATGTTGGGCAGTCTGCAAATTCTCGGAAACGTATTTGATGGGTTCGACTAAGCAGCGCTTCCTGGTCCCTATTCGATTATTTACAGACAGCTGTCATATCGCTGGAGTATTGCTGAGTACGGCGTTGAACAACAGCCAAACCAATCGACATCAAACCTGTATTAGTCTATACTCATTCCCTTCTCAGCTCTAGTGGCACTCAGCCCGCTCTCACTTCTAGTAGGCCATGTTTATGACACTCTCATCTCTGTAGAAGCCTATTCCCATCTAGTGACTCTCAGCCCACTCTCACCTCTAGTAGGCCATGTTTATGACACTCTCATCTCTGTAGAAGCCTATTCCCATCTAGTGACTCTCAGCCCACTCTCACCTCTAGTAGGCCATGTTTATGACACTCTCATCTCTGTAGAAGCCTATTCCAATCTAGTGACTCTCAGCCCACTCTCACCTCTAGGAGGCCATGTTTATGACACTCTCATGTCTGTAGTAGCCTATTCCCATCTAGTGACTCTCATCCCATCCTCAGCTCAAGTACTGTCGATGACAAACATATAGATATCTGGCAATTTTGTTCTCAGGATATGTAGCTCTGATGGAACTATCCTCAAACCAAACAGCCCTGCACTCGAAATAAATGCTCAGGTTGTGCAGGTGAGTAAGCTGTGAGCGACCCCAACTCCGCTTTTTGAACAGTTTGTATGTAATGTCACGAACTGACAAAATAATCGATACCTCTCAATTGTTTTACCATGCGTATGGTTTTTAATTGCAAATATCTTAAGTTTATTATCTTAAGCGATATTATTTCCAAAACCTAGATTGTGCTAACGTGTGGTTAGTTCTCAGAGAATACCTGACCATGGTACTTTCGTGTTAAATTTAATTTCATTTAAGACTTGATCTATCAAAGAAAGACTGTTTTTTGTTTAGCTCGTGGTGCAAAATGTATGCGAGTGTAAATCTATGACACATATCATTGACGTGTAACCATGCAAATGACACCATCAGTGGATCTTTCCATGATTAAGGAACAAAAAGCTTCACCAATCTGTTGAGAGACTTACTTGCTAAGGGTACAACTCACAGGTCTCTACGATTCAACTCTGTTAACATCAGTTGCTATGTTTTAAAGATCACATGGTCATATCAGTAGCACATAATGTACCCGTTGAAGTGAAGAGCGCTTGTCTTGTCTGCAGGTTCAGTCAAAGGTGATGACGTTTCAACACGTGTTTATCAAAATATGCTGCTGCCTGTATACAGTAAATTGCAAGTGCCGTCCACTATGTTCCAGATGACGTTTCAAGATGGCAGCGGCCCAGACGGCGACATTTGGGCGACACTCAACGGCCTGTATAGGGGTGGACCAAACCCGGAACAGGTGTACGGGATTATCTATGTTTCCGGCTTGAACAGGACGTTTGACATCACCCCGACGGCAGCCGACATTGGGTTTGAAGTGAGTATGTCGTACGTATTTAAAGGGACATTCGGCGCGAAGAAAGCGCAAGTCCCAGCCAATATGATTCAAGTAGTTGAAACATCACGTACGTCGTCAGTGATGTATCATACCTGTAAAGAATGCGTTAAGTTACGAATGTGAGACGACTTGCACTTTAGATTATGCGTGTTGTATGTGCATATTGGTCTATCAAGCAAATAAATTCCTACCCAAAACGAGACTTAAATTGGCAGGTGGCAGTACTTCAATACTTCAAACTTAAGCTGGAAATTGTGTGTTTCCAATGCTTGCTCTTCAAATGGATAAATATCAGTTGGGTATGAGTTACCCATGTGTAAGTAATCCACACTTCTGGCACTTACCTCATCAATGAGATCGCAACAGCACGTTGAACGCGATTTCAGGTACATGTAGATAGAGAGCGATGGGATAACCTTGTGACTGAAGCGTTGGTTTG